GGCTGTCTTGATTGTTCTTAAGGGCACACGCTGAAAGTGATGTTCACAACTCAGCGACTTACAAAAACGGGGTCGCCGACACTGGCGCGTAAGCTGCCCGCGCGAGGTCGCGCATAAACGCCCTCGTCGCCAAAGGGGCGTGGCGCGTTGGCGGCCCGCGCAAGCCACCGCGTAAGGTCGCCGTGTCATCGCGCGAAAGGCCCGTTTGTGAGCGTCGCTCATATTAGAAAAACCTTCCTCAATGATTCCCGCATTGCCAGAAGGCTGGACGTGGGCTGGAGGGGGTGGGGGAGGGCCCAGCGCAATCAAATCATGGGTGCGCGCCAAACAGGCCCGTCTCAAGGCATCCCGTGGTTCCAGGCGCCCAGGGGGCGGGCCCGAGGCCGTTGCAGAAGGGGGACGGACGGCAGGGTCAAATTGCACCAAACCTCGAGGAAGCTTCAAGCTCTCAGGCCGCGGCCCGCTGGCCGCGGCCCCGCGAAGGGGGCCCCTGCCCACGCAGCCTCGGCCTTGGGTGCCAGGCCTTCGTCAAGGGAGGAAAATCCACCCAGACCCTGACAACTGGCGTTTGCTGAACGGCCCTGCCCGTTTAGTAAACAGCCCTTCCCTGTTTGATTCCTCCCTCCGGTGTGTTTACGAAACGGCTTCGCTTGTCGGGGTGCTTCTTATGGGGGTGGATCTTCTGCCCGCCACTTGGACCGCTAGGGAGGGGCGCCCGAGGGCAACGACTTGCGGGAAACTGCCACGGAGCGCCCCTGCGCACGAGGAGCGCCCGCCGCCGGGCAGCACCCTGCCCTTTCACGGCCTTGGCCCCGCGGGCGCCGCCGCGCGCCCGCGTCGGGAGGCCCGCGGGCCCGAGGCCGCAGGGCGCGGCCCCGTGGGCCGCGGGGCCCGAGACTGGAGGCCTCTGCCCGCGCCACCGGAGCCTGTGGCGCCAGGCCTCGGGCTGCTGGGGAGGGGGGTCCTGGGCAGCGGCTTCCGGGAAGCCTTGGGGGTCGTCTGGGGCATGCGCTGCGGGAAGCCTTCGGGAGGGCCCCGTGCGCACGCAGGAGGCCCACCTCCTAGCATCCCGTGGTCACCAGGCTGCGGCGCCGCAGGCGCCGCCACAGTCTGTAGGGGGTTCTGGGTTCTGGAGGAGGCTCGGTTTTTGAGCGTCCCCGCTGCGATCCGCACAACGGAATTGGCAGGAACGCGATGTCAACGAATAGCGTAATGCTGATGCTGCTAAGTGTAAATATTTGTCCTTGGAGCACGTTACGTGTTGAACCATGCCACGCATGGATGCAGACTTGAGCATGTTCGGGCGGGAAGAAAATAATATCGAATTTGGTCTGACTACATTGAAGCCCATGTCGTCTGGAAAGGACCTCGAAAGCATCTGAGCCGTACGCTTTGGAATTTCCTGACGTATGATAATCTCGCAGATGCACATCGATAGCAAACTTATTGCGTTGCGTAGTGATGCCCGACGCCTGCTTGCAGCTGTGCGCGGATCCCACTGCACCTGGAACCAACAGTCAGTCGGCGGCGAACCTGGGGGGAAGTGAGAAGGGGCTGGTCTTCTCAGAAGGCTCGGAAGCCCCTAGGCCTTCTGAGAAGTTTTCTAAACCTTCCCCGAAGACGCAGAAAACTTCTCAGAAGGCCAGAGCGCTTCTGAAAAGCCCCGCCGCCTTCTGAGAAGGCCTTCTCCTTCTCATTTCCCCCTCTCGCCCGCCGCCAAGTCAGTACGCAGATCTTGCCATGCCTGGACCCACAATTGCAGGGATCCTGCAGTACCGAAGTCCACTGTCAAAGGGTCACCGCGCGCCGGGCGCGCCGACGTTTCCTGAATTCCCCGCTGGCCCGAAAGGCCCAGGGGGGCAGACCGAGGTCGAGGAGAAGTAACGACGCAAGGATTGGGAATACAAGCGACACCACGAAGGCTTGGGCCTCTCTGGAGGATGCCGCCTGGAGGCCCCAAGAGGCCCCCAGAGGCCCCCAGAGAAGCTGAAGAACGGGCCAACAGGGGATCCAATGACTTCGACTTCCAATCCTCGACCCTCCATCCCCGAAACTCGATCCTGATCCTAGATCTTCGCTGCTCGATTCGCGAGCCTCGATCCACGATCCTCGATCCTCGAACCTCGATCCTCGAACCTCTATCCCCGAACCTATACTCGATCCTGAATCCTGGATCCTCACTCCTCGACCTCTTTGAACCTCGATTCTCGATCCTCGGACCTTCGAACCTCGACCTGAGGGCGGACCCGTCGGAGTCGCCAGAGCCGCCAGCCGCGCCTGTGGGCGCTCCCGCGTCAGCAACCGGTGGGGGTGGGTGGGTGCAACAGGCTGCTGAAGACCCTTGGCGCCGTGCAGCTCGCCATAGCCGCGGTGATGGAGCAGGCTTGGGAGGAGGAGGAGGAGGAGGAGGAGGAGGAGGAGGAGGAGAAGGAGGGGGAGGAGGAGGAGGAGGAGGAGGAGGAGGAGGAGGAGGAGGGGAGGAGGAGGAGGAGGAGGAGGAGGAGGAGGAGTCAGAGGAGCAAGAGGAGGAGGAAGGAGGAGGAGGAGGAGGAGGAGGAGGAGGAGGAGGAGGAGGAGGAGGAGGAGGAGGAGCAAGAGGAGGAGGAGAGAGGGAGGAGGGAGGGAGGGAGGGAGGGAGGCAGGAGGGAGGAGGGAGGGAGGGAGGGAGGTGGTGGGACGCTGACATGGGATCTCGGTCCGTGTTCATCTCTAGAGCCTCGTGCCTATGCCTCCAGGTCTGTAAGAGGAGGGGGGCACAAGGCGGGTCCGGCCTTGAAGTGGCTCTCGAAGCTGAACGTGCCTCGCCAGGGGGCACGCCTTTGGTGTGTTGCCTCCCGTCGGGCCTCGCGCCTCCTCTTCGTCTCTGCCCTGTTGGCAGCAATGCGTTCCAGCTGGGCGAGGGAGAGAGGCGGGGGGATCGGCGGCGGCGGCGGCAGGGGAGGCGGCGGAAAGGGGGAGGGAGGAAAGTCAAAAAGAGCAAGAGCTTCAGACTCCTCATCCGAACCAGGTGGCACGAATTGATTCGGCTCAGAAGCTGGAGTCGGATCACACCCACAGGCAGCAGAAGTCGGAGGTCCATGCTTTGGGCTCTGTGGGCTCTGTGGGCTGTCTTCGGGTTCTGCTGGGTCCTTGAGAAACCTATGGATCTCCGGGTCTGCGGGTGAAACTCCCTGCTTCCCACTCTTGTGCACATAGTCTGGGGCAGGAATGAACTCAGCATCGATGTGCGGTATGAACGACTGTCGAAGATCATCAATGAGGGCAGGGTCGGGATCACACACAACGTCTGCGTCATTGGCGCATGCATATATCCTGGGAATGGAGGCTGCAATTAAGGCCGCCATTCTGTTGCACATCTCCGAGGGGTACGTTTTTTTGGCGTGGGTTCTGAACCGCGGGGCCCCTCCCTTTCCATCCGTCTCCTTGCCACGCAAAATCTTGTGAGCACCTTTGGGATGATGGCACCATCCCTTCCTCGGGCTGTCGGTCAGCCTGCGGGCAAGGTAGTCCATGCGCAAGCCCAGCAGCCTTGTGGGCGCACGCCCATACTCATTGGCACAACGTGTCGCTGGCTGGCGCGCACACTGGTCAAAATCTGCTGTGACCGCGTTGGGCGCAGATGGAGGGAGGGAGGAGGGAGGAGGGAGGAGGGAGGAGGGAGGAGGAGGGAGGAGGGAGGAGGGAGGAGGGAAGAGGGAGGAGGGGAGGGAGGAGGGAGGCGGAGGCGGAGGCGGAGGCGGAGGCGCCGGCGGCGGCGGCGGCGGAGGAGGAGGAGGAGGAGGAGGAGGAGGAGGGGAGGAGGAGGAGGAGGAGGAGGAGGAGGAGGCGGAGGCGGAGCGGAGGCGGAGGCGGAGGCGGAGAGGAGGAGGAGGAGGCGGAGGCGGAGGAGGAGGAGGAGGAGGAGGAGGAGGACGAGGAGGGCGGAGGAGGAGGAGGAGGAGGAGGCGGAGGAGGAGGAGGAGGAGGAGGGAGGAGGGAGGAGGAGGAGGTGGAAGAGGAGGAGGAGGAGGAGGAGGAGGAGGAGGAGGAGGAGGAGGAGGAGGAGGAGGGAGGAGGGAGGAGGAGGAGGAGGAGGGAGAGGGGGAGGGGGGAGGAGGGAGCAGGGAGAGGGAAGGAGGAGGAGAAGGAGGAGGGAGGAGGGAGGAGGAGGGAGGATTACCCTTAGAATACCCCTGGTACTTGGTGGATTCTACATCGAGCCTCCAGCGTATTACTTCTTAGCCGAAGCTTTGGGACTGGAGTCTGCGCTCACGGAGGCCAGATCCTGGATCCGCGCCCATTACAGACTGTAGTGGCCTCAGTTCTTTGCCGCTGCCGCTGCCTCGTTCGCCGTCGCCGCTCTCGCTTGCCCCCCCTTACCTCCCTCCCCCCCTCCCTCGTTGTTGTTCCGCTGTCGCTTCGCTGCCTCGCCTTCGCCTTGTCCTCTTGTCCTCTTGTCCTCGTTGCCGCCGCGCTCTCTCGCTGTCGTCGCGCTGTCTTGGGTCTCTGTGCTTACCAATGTTTCACCCGCTTCCCACCGATAGCATCAGGGGTAGCTTCCCGGAGTTCTGCCCGCCACCGAGAAAGAAATATTACCCCAACAGCTACCTCTGCTACTTCAGGGGAACTTTAAATGAGTGGCCGCCCTTCGGAGAGACGCTGGAGGACACATGGACCAATTTCAGTATGGTGCTCACCCCTCTCACACTTGCTCTCTTTCCCAAGGTCCCTATATGGCCATTTCTTTCCTTAGCCCCACAGACACAGCTCGCACAACACCAGTAGGCAGAAGGGCTCATAACACGCAAGCATGGGCGGCAGCCTAGCTTCTCCTCCCACCCCGAGCCAACGCACCGACAGAAATAGCTGCCACTGCTCGCCGTTCCCGCACGTGCTGAGCCAAGCATTGGAGTAGAAGCCGAAAGGTCTGAGATTCGCCTCCCGAACCGAGCAGCGCATGATGCACTGGCACACTGCGGCACTGAACCTGAGAACGCGCCGAAGGGTCGTGCAACCAACCATTACGCAGCAGCCACTGCCCAGCCTCTGGGGCTGCCGCAGAAGACGCGCCGACGGGCCGCGCACAGTGCACTAACACCTGCACGAAAGGCATCCTCGTGACAGGAGAACCAATGAGAACCAGCGCAACCAGCAAGTGGAAGCGACCATGCCCAGGTCGAGCTCGTGAACTGGTACCGGCAGCGCGGCCAAGTGCACGAAGACGAGCTGGCTGAAGGGCTCCAGAGAGCTTCAGGGAGACCGTCGTTGCCCTCGCGATGCGTCCCACTTCGTCGCCCAGAAGAGCTGCACTCGCAGTGCGGCAGCCTGGGCGTCCCTCAAGCGCCACGTGGACGCGCGGGACGTGACGTCGAAACTACCCGGAGCCCAAATTGGTGCGGAGAAGCTTCTAGCCACATGTGTTGGAGAGGAGGAGGAGGAGGAGAAGGAGGAGGAGGAGGAGGAGGAGGAGGAGGAGGAGGAGGAGGCGGAGGAGGCAGAGGAGGAGGAGGAGGAGAAGGAGGAGGAGGATGAGGAGCAGTATAATTAGTGGTTGTAATCATAGGGTTCTTAACATTGATTGGAATTGGAGGAGGAGGAGGAGGAGGAGGAGGAGAGGAGGAGGAGGAGGGAGGAGGAGGAGGAGGAGGAGGAGGAGGAGGGGTGGAGGAGGAGGAGGAGGAGGAGAGGGAGGAGGAGGGGGAGGAGGGGGAGGAGGAGGGGGAGGAGGAGGAGGAGTTGGTACCCTCCCTCTCTCCCTCCCTTCCTCATCTCCGTCGCCCTTCAATCGCCCTCCCCTTGCCCTCCCTTCGCCTTCCGCCCAGGCGCTACCCCCCGTGCAGAAGTCGTGGCCGAGCGAGGCTTGGGAGAGACGGCCAGACGAGCCCGAGACGCCCGTGAAGAGGGAGGACGGGAGCTGCCCCGCCGAAGGGCGCGAGAAGGGCGCGTAGGCGGGCGCGCTGCCAGTTTGGGTTGGGGGGGAGGCGGCGGGGGGGGAGGGGGAGGAGAGGAGAGGAGAGGAGAGGAGAGGAGAGGAGAGGAGAGGGATGAAGCAGAGGCGCGAGGAGGGAGTGGGGGAGGGCGGAAGGGTGGTGGTAGTGGATGAGGACGAGGTTGAGGACGGAGGAAGGAAGGACCGACCTTCGACCCTTCGGCAGCATGTTGCCCATTGCCATCCGATCCTTATGAAAAGAAGCATGCGCTGTGCAGGCAACTTCATAGACAAAAAGAAAGAGGCCTAGGCCGGGTCCCCTCCCCCGCGGCCTAGGTGTCCTGACAGTTGGCGAGGATGCCATCAGCTGGCACCGCGCGGCGTAAAGCGCGGCGAAACCTCGCTTGCTCTCGGCGGAGGCGAGTAGCCTCGCGGAGCTCAGACGTGAGCTCGACTCTGGGCAGGGGGAGGGGGGAGCAGGGGGGGGGGGAAACGCAGGTTCCTCAGGGACGCCCGCCGCCTTCAAGGCCCGCAGGATCCCTTCCTGCGAGTCGGGGTCCACCCCGGCCTGGGGTCCCACTTCGGAGACCCTAGGGGGGGCCTGGCCTGTAGAGGGCCTAGGGGGGCTTCGAAGGCGAGTCGAAGCGGGTGTCCCCCGACCCTTTAGCCAATTCTGAGAATCCAGAATAATCTGATCTGAGGCCAAGTCCTCCGAGGTATGTTTAAAGAGGTCTGATCTTATTCAGAGGGCATCTCTCTGAGGTCCAGCTCCTCGCGGTCTTACCAGGCCCCCAAAGGTAGTAGCACACTGTAGAACTCCATTCGCCACCTCACCACAAAGCTCTGGTGAGTAGCGCTTCTTGGGTGCCGTACGCCACAAGCCAACTTCGGGATCGATTCCCCAAAGTGCCATGTAGGCTTTCCTACCGTGATCACATCAACCCATTATTCCCAGAGTCTGTATGGCCTCGCATAAGGAACTTAAGCGGATGCAAAGCAACAGCGTCGGAGCCCTGCTGCACTGCCCGTACACACACTGATCAATCGGAATCATTGGACGGAGGAGCTGCTGACAGGGCGCATGATGTGGCCGACTGACACGAGCTCGGGTATCTCGGCTCCCATTCTGAAGTCTCAGGATGCTCCATTCACGCACGCGCTCCCACCTCAAGGCAGGTCAACATCAACCGGTGCTGGCTGAGCAGGAGCTGGGAACCTATCATAAGCTGTTGGTGCTGACGTTGCCGTGCATCCGGTCTCCCCCATTTGTGCTTGAAGGGGTCTGGGGTACGTAGCTCCTGCCATTTAGCTGCAGGCCAGGATTCACATGGGGGCCCTCCAATGAGGCCGATAGCACGCCGAGTCCTCAGGAACATATCCCACTTCTCAGCAATACCTGGTCGGGTGAGATTTCGGAGGACATGGTCACATGCTACGTAGCAAGAGGTCACTAGAATGGTCTGTGGCCCTGCTACAAGAACTCGATCGAGTGCATCCAGCACATCCTTCTCGCGAAGGACTCCAGAAAACAGGTGCAAAACGGCCATGATCTGGTAGCGCACAGGTCGCGGAAATGTTTCCGCAGCGGGGCCCGCATAGTCCAGGGCCTCAGGTAGATGCTCATTTTCAGTAGCAAGTTCAGGTCCTGGGGCAGGGTCCTCGTCAGGGGCCTCTTGAGGAGCTTCAGGCCGCTGGTACTCCAGGGTGCGTAGAAGGTCCCACGCTTCCGAGTAGCTCAGAAAGTGCCGTTGGGGATGATTGACGGGTCCAAGGGGCTGGGTAGGCTGGCAGCCAGGCTCCTCTCCTCATGGCCCCTTTGGTTCGGGCCTTCTTCCTCTCGTTAGCCTCAAGTAGACGAACCTCCTCCAAACCATCCTCGGAATGCGGCTCCAGGGACGAGAGGACAGTAAACTTACAATTGGGACTGCCGTAGGCCAGGCGATCAATGGTCAGTTTAAAATTGTGAAACTTTGGTAGGCATACCGGGCATGTGCTTCCATGAGCGCATTTGGTTGCAAGCGCCTTGTGCTGGTAGTGCTGTTTGGTCGCGTGTGTGTGTGTGTGTGTGTGTGTGTGCGTGTGTGCGTGTGTGCGTTCGTGATGTCTGCTTTCTCTTTGAGAGGGGAGGAAAAAGAGAACTCGCAGCGGTCAACTCGTGGAAGGTGCCAGCGTCAGAAACAGGTTTGGCTGGCATCAGCGATTCGGTTGTTCCTCCTGATGTGTGCTTCGCTGCCTGCACTTACTAGGTTGGCTCAATGACTCTCATGACTCTTGATCTCCTTCTCCCAGGACCCGGAAATCTGAGACAGGGCTCGGAAGCTCTCGAAGCCGAGACGCCTGGGCGCGGAGCTATTTGAGGTCCTCGAAAGCCGCGTTGACCCACGACGCTGTCCTGGACGAGGTGGCTCTCAGGAACCCAAAGAGGGCCGAAGGACCATGATGATACAGCCTCCCCAGATACCTGAGACGATGCCACTTCATTAAAAAATGTCGACGTCGCATCTACGGGAAGACGCAATCACAGCTTGATCATCCTCGGCGTTGTCGTCATAATGTCTTTTGGCGATACCAGCTCGATACATTCTGACAGTCTAAGCTCTGTAGCGAGACTAGTGCGCGGCCGTAACTGACGGCCATGTCCCTGCATCGTAGAGGTGGCCTGACATAGCCAGCGATTCCGCCAGCTGGAGTTCGCGGGCTGTCGCAATCGGAGGATTCGGGAAGACCGTCTTCTGAAGTGCCTGAAGAGAGGGCGCCGTCGAGGACCCCCCGTAGGCGAACTCAGGGGCCTAGTCCTGCTTATCGGAGAGTATGCCCCCCAGGTGCTCGTAAGAACGTAAAACCGAGGCTTCGCGGCCCTTCGAGAAGGTCTCGAAGGGGGCCACCGAGACAGACCCATCTTCTTTACTCCAAAACAGTTTGCTAGCCGCCCTGAATCCTGGGCCCCGGAAGGTCATCGCGAGGGCGGTCTCGGTGGGCCTATTTTCACCATGAGGCCCGCCAGGGCAAACCTGTTTGAAAACCATGACAGCCAGGCCTTCAGTCCCAGCTAGCTGAGTGGCCGCTCCGCAGACGCCGGATAAGCTATCATCGCTACACTGGGCAGCATTGACCCCCGTTGTCGCGGCATCGGGGAACAGGGGGTCGACGTTGCGGCACTGAGCGGTCGGTCTTCCATGCGACAGAAAATCAGTCCCCAGCTGCGCCCGAGTCTTGGTGCTGCATCTCGAAACAAAAGGAAACGCTGCGCCGCCAGCGCTTTGCTTCTGTGCGCGCCCGCGGTCGGGATCGCCGATTGCGCGCCCCCCTGCGCGGTCGCCCACGCCCCCGCATGCGAGAGTTTCGGCATGCGCGCGGCGATGGTGGGCTGGAAACGCTCGGTTCTCTAGTGACGTAGGCCCGCCCAACTCCTCTTCCCAACGAGCGCCATCGTCTCTAGAGAGGGGCCCGATGCCTGGATGAGCTGCGCGATCCGAGAATCCGAGATGGTCGTCTCAGTGTCAAATCGAGCCAGGTTCTCTCTGATCACACGATGAAATGCAGCCTCCAGGTCAGAAGCGATGGGCATCGACCGCGCCTTGATTTGCGAGGGCAGCGCCGCGGGCGACGATGCGTGACCGCTGAACTCGACGATGGCGTTTCCAATCTCGCGGCCTTCGCGGTTCGCCTGGCGGCTTCTTCCTGCAATGCTTGGTCCACCAGCGGCGGCCGCGTGTAGATTGCCCCATTGTAGTTACCCATTTCTTGTGCATGAACCTCGCCCTTCCGCCCTCCTCTCCCGTCGTGTCCGCGCTCGTGGAGGCGCGGCCGCTCTTTGGCTCAAGGCGCAGGAGGTGCGTCCGCGCATGTCTTCCCCCTCCCTGCGCGGCTGGGCCGCGCCATGGCGACGTGGGGCGCGGCGCTGGCAAGGGCGTGGGACATCGCCTCGCGGGCCGTCTCCACGGCGACGACGGCTGGGCTGCGTCGAGCGCGGGCTGCAGATGCGCCGTCGCCCATGTCGCCCACGAGCGCGGCGGCTTCGAGCCCGCCGTCCGCTTCGCTCCCGGCTTCGGGCCATTCGCCCTTGCATGGGGGCGGCGCTTGGTCGGCGTCCTGGGAGGGCTGCTGATCGGCACGTACTTCGAGCAGATCGCAAACCTGGCCGCTTCGCTGGCGACTGGGTGGGAGGCCTGGCCCAGTTGGCGGCTGCTGGGCCGCCGGGACTGAGCCCGATGCCTCTGTCGCACCGTGCGGCCCAGGCCGAGCTCGCAGCTGCGACGGGGCCGCGCCGGGCGATCCTCCTGCGCCTCTCCGACGAGGGAGGCGCCGCCTCGGACCTCCTCGCCGCCGCGGGGGGCGTGCCGCGGCGGGGCGCCTTGGCGCGCATCCTTGGCGATGCCGCGGTCAGAACCAACGCAGCTGTCTGGGGGCTGCGACGCCATCCCGGGCCCTCCGCCGCGACCCATTCGCATGCGCCCGGGTCGGCGAGGCCTCGCAGCTAGGGCCAGTAGGGGACGACGAGTTCTTGCGGGCCAGGCTGGCCGTGGGCTTCCCCGAGAGGCCCGTCGGATCGGCCATGGCGACCCTGGGCTTCGCCGAGCGGGCCGGCGGCGCTGCCGCTGCGGGCTTCGCCACGCCGCTGAGTCGTTCTCCTGGCCCGAGCCCCGCCGATCCACCCGCGGCCGAGGGCCTCGCAATCCCTCTCGGGGAACGCGTATGCGCAGCTGAGGGCGGGGGGCCGCCTGGGCCGCCACAGTCGGAGCCCCTGTCCCCCGTGGGCCGCCGCGGCGCGCCTCGCTGGCGGGATCCAGGCACCCCAATCGGCGGCGAACGCTCTCCGCAGCCTGGGGCCTGGGGCCGCGCTGCAGGGGCCCCGCCGCCCGTGCCGGCGCCGCCCGAGGCAGTGGTGGCGGGGGGCGCCGGCCCCGCTGCTGAGGGTACTATGCTTCCGCCGGGGGCCGGCGTCGTGCTCTCTGACATGGAGCCGCTGCTGCCTGCGCTGGAGGCGCCTCCGCCGCCGCCTACCGTGGGCGGCGAGCGGCGAGCGCGGGCGGCCCGCGCTGGCGACGGGCCCCCTGCCATGGAGCCGCCGCCGCCCGCGCTGGAGGCGCTCCCGCGCCCGCCGGGGGCCACCGAGTTCGCCGGAGGCGCAGCCGGGGCGGGCGCCAGGGCGGGCGCCGGGGCTGCCGGGCCGGCCGCCGGGCCACCGCCGAGCGGCCCAGAGACCCGAGGTAATTTGCGAACCTTAAGTCCCTCCGGATTCGGCGCGCCGCTGGGGCCGCCAGAGGAGCCGCCAAGGCCGTTGTCGGGGCAGCCGGGCCCGCCGGCTGGGCGGCCAGCCGACGCGGGAGCGCCGCCCCCGCCTGCCCCTTGGTCGGGCCCCCCAGCGACGAGGAGCCCGCTGCGCCTGCCCCTGGGGCGCCGCCGCCGCCGCCGCCGCTGCAGCGCCCCTTCTGCCCGGCGCGCCCGGCGAGGCGCGTGCGCCGGTTGCTGCGGGCTGCGTGCGCTGACGACGCGGCAGTGCCACCGTTGCGGCGCGGCTGCTCGCGCGCGCCCCGGGCCGCGCCCCGGGCCCGGCGCGGCCCGCCGCGAGCCGCCCGGCGGCGGTGGATGAGGTGCGCGACGTGCATTTGCCCGCGGACTGGGCGTATCGCATCGAGCAGCTGCCCGCCCAGGCCATGCTGCATATCCCCGTGCCATTCCAGGGGCGCTTCGCCCGCGCGACGGCGCGCGCGCTGGGGGCCCTTCTCGCGGGCGGCGCGCTCGCAGGCCTTGAATGCGGGCGTGGCGCGCTCTTAATTGCTCACCCCGCCGCCCGCCGGCTTCGGCGCGAAGGCGGCACTCGAGGCCCGGCTGCGCCTCTGCGGGCAAGGCAGTTTGAGGAGTTGCTTGTCTGGGCGGAGGAACAAACGCGGGCGCGGGCTGAGGCGCGCCAGCGGGCTCCCCGGGCCCCCGCTCGCGCCGTTCGCAAGCGCCGGGCGCGCGCGTTGGCGCGCGAGGGCGCCTGCAGCAAAGCGGTCGCGGCGGTGACTTCTCAGGTCGTGGAGCTCACTCCTTGTGAACAGCTTGCGCGGAGTGCTCAGCTGCTGCCGACGCGTGCGCTTCGCAGCCACGTCGGGGCCCAGCCCGGGCGGCGCGCGCCCCGAGCACTTGAAGGATCTGCTGACTGGGCGGCGCTGGTCGGCGGTGAACCGCTTGCTGCGGGCGCTGGGGGCGTTGATCGACGGCGCGCGCTGGGGCGTCCCCGCGGTGGCCGCCGGGGTCGCGCTTGGTTTTTCTGCGGGGCAAGCGGCCCCGCCCCGCGCCCCATCTGGGCGGGCGAGCTCTGGCGCCGGGTGATCGCCAAGCGCATGCTGCACGATGAGAGCGATCGGCTGCAGCATGTGTTCGCGGAGGTGCGTCAGCACGGCGGCGCCCTCGTGCCGGGTAGTGCGGAGGAGGTTCTGATCCACGCAAGGCGTGCATCGGGGGGCGTGCTGCAGGCGGGCGGGCACGCGCCCCCCGCCGCGTTGGACTTGGACCCGCGGAACGCGTTCCCGTCGTTGGAGCGGGATGCCATCCGCGCCGCCGTCGAGGAGCAGGCCCCGAACCTGCTCGCATGGGCGGAGTGGCGCCAGGCCGACAGCATCGGCGTGCGCCTTCCGTGCGGCGAGCTGCAGCACGTCGACCGCGGCGCGGGGCAGGGGGATCCGCTGGGCGGGGCCCAATGCTCACCCGTGCTCGCGAAGGTGGCGGCGGAGGCGCGCGCGGCGGTCGAGGCCGCCGGAGGCTGGGTGTTCGAGGCGCGGCACATGGGCGACGGGCAGGTCGTCCCCCCCGCGTGGCGCGCGGACATCTTCCTGCGCGCCGTCGACGCGGCCGCCGAGCGGGTCGGGCCGGGGCGAGGGGGGCGGCGCCGAGAGCGTGGCGCGGCTCGCTGGCGCGCCCGAGGCCCTCGGCGACGCGGGCGCCTCTCGGGGCACCGAGTGCGCGCGGCGCACCTGCAAGACTCCAGTTTCGCAGGCCCCTGCGCGGGTGCTGGGCGCCAGCATCGGGGCGGGGGCTGTGGCGACCCCGCTCTCGGAGCGCACCGTGGGCGCGGCGGCCGCCCGCGCCGCGCTGGCGCCGGCGGGGGGCGCGCGGGCGGAGCTCGCCCTCGCGCGCGCGCGCCTGCACGCGTGCAAGGCGGCGCACCTCGCGCGCGCGGCTGGCCCGGAGATCCCCGTCGACGCGCTCGCCGCGTTCGACGAGGAGCAAGAGGCGGCGTTGAAGCGTGTTTTGGGCGGGGCGCCGCTGGCGGCCTGCCGCGCCCGGGCGGCCACTGGCGCCGCCGATGGCGGCCTCGGCCTTCGGCGCGCGACAGCGGTCGCGCCGCGGGCGTTCATCGCATCGCGCGTCGAGGCGCGCCCGCTGGTAGCGGCCCCGCGCGGGGGCGGCTTGCAGGCAGCTCTGGCGCGGGCGGTGGCCGCCCACGTGGACGAAGGGCCCCAGTCTGCGTTTGCCATTTGGTGCGGAATGCTCCCGCGCAACCTCGCCGCGCGGGCGCAGTGCGTCTCCGTGCAGCGGGTGGCCCGGGCCTTCGATGAGGCATTTGGCGGACCGGCGCGGCCGCGCGCGGAGGCCACGGATTGGTCCGCGGCGGTGGCGCCGGCAGGGAGTGGCGACCCGGAATTTGGCGATATTTCTGCGCATCGTCATCAAACCCAGCTGTGCGCCATTGCAGACGATGCGTTGCTGGACGAGGTCGTGGCCAGTTCCGAGCGCAGGGGCAGCGGTCCGCCTTGCGCCTCCTGGAGGAGCTGCGGCTCCGCGGCGCAGATCACACTTAAGCTGTGGCAGCTCCATCCCGCGCGGTGGCTTCGCCCGGGCGAGTTCGCCACTGCCGTGCGCGTGCGCTTGGGCGCGCCCATCGCGGAGGGCGTGGCCGTCGGCGCCCTGCGCGGTGCCGAGATGGACAGCGAGGGCCAGCGCGCCCTCTGCTGCGCCGAGGGCGCTAGCACCCGCGGGCGCAACAAGATCCGCGACGCGGCCCACTCGCTCGCTTCCCTCGCCGACGGCGCCGCGTGCGCCGAGCCGCTCGGGCTTGTCCCGCCCGCTCCAGCATTGCGCCGTGCTGTTGTCCTTGCATCGGCGGCCGCCCCCAGCCGCCTCGCCCGGCGGCGCCGGGCGCGGGCGCGGCCTCGCCCGCGCGGCCGGCGGAGGCGAGGGCTGCTGCGAAGGCATGCGGCGGGAGAAGCTCGCGCGCTGCAGCACCTACCTGCCCGAGCTTGAGCGCGAGGGCGTCTCCTACAGGCCCCTGATCTGGTCGTGCCGCGGCCAGCCGCGCCCGGAGACTTCTGCGTTCCCCAGCACGATGGCTTCGGCGGCGGCGCGGCGGCAGGGCTTCGCGATGGGCGAGCCGCTGCCGCGGCAGGCGCGCGGCGCCATAGCGGTGCAGCTCTGGCGGAGGGCCGCGCGCGTGGTGCATGCTTGCCTGCCCCGCCTCTGCGCCCGCGAGGCGGCCGCCGCGCTCGCCCGTGGACGGGCGGCAGTGCCCGCGGAGGAGCTCGGGCGCGCGGCCGATTTCGACGCCGTGGCAGACGACGACGCGGCGGGGCCCGCAGGGATTGCAGCGTCACGCGCGTGGAGGTCTGAGCCCGCGCAAACTGACGCGTCTTGGATTCGACGCCGCTCGGGCCTGCGCGATGATATATATATATATATGTATATATACATACATACATACATGCATGCATGCATGCATACATACATACATATACATACACGCATACACATATACACATATATATACATATGCATATACCTATACATATACGTATACAAATACATGTACATACCCATACATATACATATACATATACATATACATATTCATATACATAAACATATACATATACATATACATATACATATACATATACATATACATATACGTATACATATACACATACACATACACTTACATATACATATACATATACATATACATATACATATACATATACATATACATGTGCATATATGTTTACATTTGCATTTACATATACACATACACATACACATACATATACCTATACATATACATATACATATACAAATACATATACATATACAAATACATATACACATACATATACATATACATATACATATCCGTATACATATACATATACAGATCCATATCCATATACATATACATCTACATATACATATACATATACATATACATATACATATACATATACATATACACATACATATACATATACATATACATATACATATACATATACAAATACATATACATATACATTTACATTTACACATACACATACACATACACATACACATACACATACACATACACACACATACACATACACATACACATACACATCCATACACATACACATACACATACACATACACATACACATACACATACACACATATCTATATTAAATATATGTGTATATATCTATTTTACTTTATTGCTGAGCCCAGGGCCATTGCGCGCTTTTGGGTTTCTGTTCGCATTGGTCGAGGTGGATCGCTACTTCTGGCGCACCCGCGACAAGTAATCGTTAATTCGTGCGCGCATCCGCACCTTGATAACATCTTGCATGCGACAGCAGCCCCCGAACAGTCCAAACGATATGTCTCGCTTCTCTGAGATGGCAGGCGAAAATTTCAAGCGCACACCGATGCCCAGGGAACTGTAACATCCCGGAATATCCCCAGTGGCCCTTCTCAGCGGTTCATTTAAAGTCGCCAGGTCGTTGGACGGCAGCTTCGCAGTGGGGTCCTCATGCGTTCAGGAACCAGGAATCAGGAGGAGGCGGAAAAGGAGGAGAAGGAGGAGGCGGGGGAGGAGGAGGAGGAGGAGGCGGAGGGGGGCGGAGGGGGGCGGAGGAAAATGACGGAGGAGGACCGAAGAGGTCGGAAGATGAGGGGGAGGATGCGTGGGGCAGTGGCGCCCCACTCGCACAGGTGGCGTGGAAGACGCGCGTGCTGATGGTTGGCTCTGAAGCCGCGATTTCTGACGGCGAGGGGCAAGAAGGGGGAAGGGGGAAGGAAGGGAGGCGAGGAAAACGAAAGGGGGGAAATGGGGAGAGAAGGACAGGGCATGAGGGCTGAGGGGAGGGTAGCGAGGAGAGCACATGTCAGGGATGGAAGCGGAGGGATTGGGGAAGGGATTTGGACAGGGGGCGAGGGAAGGGAGGCGAAGGAGGGGAGACGAAAGGAATGGGGAGGGGGAGGAGACGGGGGGGATGGGTCGGAGGACGTCAGCTCACCACCGCACTGGTCCTGGCCAGGTCCATCCTGGGCCCAGGGCCCAGGATCCGTGCCTGCGCCCTCCTGGCCTGGCCAGAGAGCCGCAGACACCGACCCCAGGCGCAGGCTGGGCCTGGCCAGGATCTACGACTTGGTCAGCTGACGGCCCCCGAAGGCTGAGTTACGGTCGGGAACTTTTGGGTTCGCGTGCCGCTCCGCCGGTTCTGGCCCACCAAGCTTCGGCGCGACACGCTGCCGACGCCCCCGGTCCCAAGCGGCAACGCCCCGAGCCTCTCGAAGCCTCCCGCCCGCCCTCTGGAGCAGAGTGACACCCTATCCGCTTGCAGGGCACATCGTGTCGCCGGGGCCGCTGAGATGATCTCCGACCTTCGTCGGCCTTAACCGATGAAGGCGCTGCCCGGCCTTCCCAGTCCTCCGGCGCTGTTCTGTTATTTAGGTTCGCTCACGTACCTCAGCCCCAGACTTCTCGACCTCAGAGGAGGAAATGGTGCCCCATACCTCTACCTTTCCCTCGGGCCCTCGTCGACACCGCTGGATTCGCTTCGAAATCCTGGTCAGAACGCACCCTGGGAGAGGTCTGGGGAGTAGCAGTATCGGTACCTTTTGGTTTCCCCGCTCTCGACCTCTTCCCCAGTGCTGGCTTTCCACCTGAGGCGTTTCAGGCAGGGCCTCGCTTTGGGCGGGTCTCGCCCTCGGCTGAAGCGGGCGGAAGGCTGCCGGACGCCCGCTTAAGTAAACTAGCGGCGGCGGGTCCATTGGCGGAAGCCAGTGGAAGGTTAGCGGAGCGCAGCGGAGAGAAGAGAGAGACGTCACTCAATCTTTCTGGGTTCAGGGTTTCCAGCGAGTCGTCTTTTGAGCGTCCCTAGGCTGGATGAGGGTCCCCCAAAGGCAAGAAACGTCGCCAAACATTTCCCGTCTCGATTTGTCACGACATTAGGGGGTATGGTCGGGTGCTGTCAAAAGTATCCCTAGCCCCTAGCCCAGGGTGTCCCCAGAATTTCCTGTGCGGCCCAGATGGGCAACAGTTGCGAGGCCCAGAGAGCCCCAGGGGCTCCAAGATGGCGCGACAAGCTGGGGACACTTGTGGGCCAGAGGCACCGTTGGCAATCCCAGCGATCTGGGTCAGCGGTGGCGCCTTCGGGAAGGGGACGGAGACCTGCCGAACTGCGGAACGGAGATTTGCTCGTCCTGCACAGCTCGCACATCTTCACGCTCGTTGCGTGGATCGCGTTGCATTGGCTCGCCCTTAGTCGCCATCGCAAGGCCCAGGTATGCTAAAAGAGCCCTACATCACCCATAAAAGTGGCCCATCGTGCCCAGTGCAAAAAATCATGCGAGTTCGAGATACTATGAAGGAGAATGAACTCCGTGTCGAGCTAGCAGCTAGCAGGACTGAACCCCCGCACAGGCTGTCCACTGTATTCGACAGGACCGTCCGACAATTTTGTTCGGCGCTCGGAGGCGCAAGGCCGCGCGAAGTCGCCCCTTGGCCTCTCGAGGAACGCTGGGCGTCCTGCCGTCCCGCCGCGCTGCCGACGCAGCGCAGCGCTCGCAAACGGGCCCTCGGAGGACGCCGCGCGGGCGGCGGGTGCACGCGCGGTACAGCCGCGGCCAGGGGGGCGCTCGCGACGAGTCCCACTGGCGCGAGGCCGCGTGAGGAACGTTGCCGGCCCAAAGATTTGGCGCTCGGGCGCCGACCAGGGCGGCGGCGGCCGCAGGGCATCGTGAGAATCGTCGTCGTCGTCGTCGTCTCCTCCAATATCCTGTGCCCCTTCTCTCTCCTTCCTCCCTCCTTCCTCCCTTGTCGTCGTCTTCATCCTCCTTCCCTTCCTTCTCTCTTCCTTCTCCTTTTCCTCATCCTCTTCCCCTGCCTTTCTTCTTTCGTCGTCGTCCTCCTCCTCCTCGCTCTCCTTCCTTTCCCTTTTCCTCTTTCCAACTTATGCCCCCGCATTGAAAGAGGGAGGGAATGGCAGCTCCCGATTTGGGCGGCCACGCTGGATTTCAAGAAAGCTTTTGACACAGTGTCCCATCATTCTATTTGGACGGCTTTGACAACACAATTTGCGCCAGCACCGTACATCGACATGATTGCCAAGTTGTGTTCTGGCCAGACAGCTGTCGTGAAGACGGACACGTTGAGCCGAAAATTACGCATCGCACGAGGGACAAAGCAGGGAAACCTATTGAATTCGCTGTTATTCAACAGTCTGTCGCAACACCTATTTCAGCAAGTCTACCCGAAATGGTCTAAGCGCAAGTACGGCATTCAACTATCATGTGTTGAGGGCGCGCGACTCACCAATCTCATTTTTACGGACGTTCTATTGCTCAATGATGGGTCGATGACTCTGATCAAGCGAATTGTATCAGTCGTACAACGCGTTGCTTCGAAGGTAGGTTTGGAGGTCCATCACGACAGAACGGATATCCTGAACAACCCATGCCACTGGAATCCAAAAACTACGCCAGAATTCGCAGTCGTTGATGACATGAACATCGAATTCTTGCCTTTCTCCAGGACATCGAAACATTTGGGCCGACTGTTCACTTTCTGTGACCAAGCGGAGACAGAGATCGAGTCACGGATCAAAGCCGCTTGGAGAACATTCGGACTGTTTAAGGACAAATCACCAGCAAATCAGATTCATTACACGACCTTCTGCGCATATTAAACGATGTTGTTGGCGCAACTATGTTGTACGGATGTGCGCCGTGGATGCTCACGGCCGCTTTGGCACACAGAATCCGGGTTACGCAGCGCCGACTGCTACGCATGATTTTGGGCACGCCACGACGCCGTGACACCGACGCGGCGGACAGATGGGAGACACGTAGTATCGATTACGCAAACAGTGTTGACACGGGATCAGCTGAATACACCAGCGACAACGATTCTTGTTTTACGTCTTCGTCCTCTGATTCAAGTGCTCGCGCAGAGCCGTGGCACGAATGGATCAAGAGAGCAACGCGCACGGCTTGAGCATATATTGTCTCAAGCTGGCCACGAGGATTGGGTCGCACCGCATAGACGACGGAAGTAGCGTTGGGTATCAAAGTTTGCCGACGAGATTCACTCATGGAGCTGGAAGGTTGTGATGTGGGATCCACCCTATTGCGATGTACGTGCCAGGAGTTTGCCACAACGACCACGCCTGCGATGGTTCGACGATATGTGTGCGACAGTGCGGCACTGCCATGCAGATGGAAATTGGGAGTCGCTTGCCCAGAATCACAACCACTGGATGAGCATGGGATCTGTGTACGTCCAGGCCGCCCAGTGAGGCGCCCCGGCGCACCTGCCGTTCCCTACACGGGACGCTCCCCGTGCGACATCGGCGGCGTTCCGCTCCGCTCCACCTTATGCCGTCTCCCTCCTCCCTTTCCTGTTTGCCTTTCTCTTCCTCGGCGCAGCCATACGGAATGGTTCAGTCCAGACCGCCTACTGTTTGGGGGGGCAGAGCCAAACCCCAGCCCCGCGACCCCGACCCCCCGCGATCCCCTAGAGCTACGGACCGCACCCTTTGCGGGGCGCGAGAGGAGGAGAAGGAGGACGACAAGAAGACGAAAAATAATATGCGCCAGGCTCACCACGTAGACCGCGATGAGCACCACCAGCCCGCCGAAGGCGGGCTGCCCCCATGCCTCCCTGGCTCTACAAGCACCACGGGATACAGGTTACCCCACGTCGCCGTGCGGGGCACACGGCGCGTGTTTCCGCGCTTGGATCAGTTGGCCCGCCCCCACAGGCCCTCTTGCCCAAGGGGGGCCAGGCGATGCACGTCTTGAACCGTGCCCGTAGGCCGACCCCCCCAGCCACACCCTTTCCCCACGACGTCACGGGAGGGCCAATACAGTGGCTCGGGCCTGTCCCCACAAAGACAGGTACCAGGCAAGCCAACGCGGACCGAGATCCACGCCAGCCCAGGGGGTTACCGTCACGACTCCAGAACGCCAGATCCCCGAGGGACTTGAGACGGCAGACCCGTGCCACAGCGGGACCACTAATAGAGTGCGGGCGGGCCGCCTAGGCCCGTCAGGGCACCGACTCCCCTGGACCGCCGCGCCGCCCCTGCGCAAGCGACGTCTTAACGTGTTCCAGTTCACCCCAGGAACCCCGATGTGCCGCCCAGACGCCGGAGTGCCTTCCTGGGGACCCTCCTCCTCCTCTTCCTCCTCCTCCTCCTCCTCCTCCTCCCTCCTCCTCTTCTGTGCCCCAGGGCCTTGGGGTCCGAGGAGTGCCCCAGGGCGGGCCGCGCCCGCCGCCCCCCCCTTCACCCCCAGTCCGTCCGCCGCCGCCGCCGCTGGAGCCGCCCCGCCGCCGCTCCCGGCCGCCGCCGACGCCGCCCGCTCCCGCCGCTCCTACTCGGCGCTCCTCCTCGGCGTTCCTCCTCCTTGGCCTCGCCGCTCCTCCTCGGCGCGCCTCCTCGGCGCCCCTTCCCCTCCTCGTGCTAGTGCTGTCCTCGTGCCAGTGCCGTCCTCGTGCTAGTGCTGTCCTCGTGCTAGTGCTGTCCTCGCGCAGTCCTCGTGCTAGTGCTGTCCTCGTGCGTCCTCCTGCAGAAGCGCTGTCCTCGCGCCGGCGCCGTCGTCGCGCTAGGCCGCCAGTTCCAGGCCCAGGGGTGCGAGCCACCAGACCCTTGCGTTAGGCGCGCTGGCTGGCCCGACGACCACCTCAGGCAGCGCTGATGAGCGTGCGCGCCACCTCCCGGACCTCGCAGGCGGCAATGGACCGGTGGAGAGTGCTGAGAGTCTCCTGTCGCCCAGGACCCTCAAGCACGTGCTGCGCGAGCCATTTCTGGGTGGGCTCGACCATGGCTCCCGAAACTTCGAAGCCGAGGGGCTGGGAACCAGCGGCTCCGTTGTATTTGCGGCGCTTGGCCTGTTCGGCCAGTCTCGCAGCGGTGCCTTGGGCGCGGGCCCCTCCGGCCTGCAGGCTCTGCTGCGAGGCGGGATGCACGATCCTTAGGTCAAGATAAGCCCACTGGCCGTCACTGTCGGTGCACCTGAGGTCCTCGCGGAGACCTGGATTGCCCGGCCCGGCGGGCGGGCGAATCCATGGATCGACTGCGACGTCGCAAATGCCGGCTTCACGTAGGGCTCGCGCGACGGCGTCGCGCAGGTCGTTGTGCCTCTTAACCATGAAGCCGCCATAGGAGCAGCAAAGCGCGCGGCGTCCGTTAGTGCCGACGGTGCCGGCGCAGAGGGTTCTGTCCTCCTTTCTGAAGGGGCAGGGGCCGTCAGCTGCGCGTACAAGACCTCCGAGTCTGTGTCTCACGGCCATCCTGAAGTGGGCGTCAGCGAGGTGGTGGTCGGGCCGCGTGGGCGGCCCGAGCCACGCGCCTGCTCCCTTGCCTGTCGTGCTAAGAGCCCAGGCCCGTTGGCGCGGTTCCGTCTTGGTGCGTCGTAGCCACTGCGTCCACTCTGTGTGCCGCCTATGCCTGGTACAGCGCCGCTGGGTGGTGTCGGGCGGCCCCGTGTCGGGCGCCTGCTGCGCTGCCTCTTCCTGTGTCAGCGCGTTGACAGTGCTCCGGGGGCGGTGGAGCGCCGGTCTCAAGCCCGGGCAATAATGGAGAAGGTCATCTCTGTCGCGGAGGCCGCTCCGCTGTGAGGTCGTGCGCTTGCACTAGCTCCTCCAGCGTGCTGAGTAGGTCTGCGTCGAGCTGGGTCGCCGTTTGGGCGGGAACCCCGGTGGTGCGCATGTGCCGCGTCATGTCTCCTACAGTGAGGGTTCGTAGTAGTACCGGAGACGTCTGAACGTCTTGGCCGGCTTTGTGAAGGTCCATGAGTCTGGCCATGGCAGTCGTCCTCCTGGTTCGTTGGCGTTGCAGTCGCGGCGAGGCGGGTGAGTGCAGGCTGCCCTCCTCGGCGTGCTGGTCGGCGGTTACCGGTGTCGGTGCCAGGCCGGAGTAGCCGTCGGGGTGTTGTCGTAAGATCGCGGGCTGTTCTACTCGCGGCACGGGTAGGCCCGCTGGCATCGCGGCAGGATTCCTCGCCCACACCTCACATTTGTCGACGCGTGTTTGGAGGCCGGCTTGGCTCAGTGCGTTGGTGCAGGCTGCGTAGATGGTGGGCAGGTCTTCAGGCTTCGCAAGGATGGTGAGGTCGTCGATGTAGCCGACAAAACTCGTGCTGCGTACCTGCTGCTCCGAGTCGGTGTTTGGCCCTCTCGAGGACTCGAGTCCGAGGCAGAAGAGCATGGTGGCCATGCCGCACCCCTGGAAGATGCCCGTCGTTTGGTTCCAAGTGTGCCTTCTGCCCACGGTGTCGTGGTGGACGACCTGCCCGGCGTCCGGCAGGAAGCCTCTTGCCCACCGGCGGAGTTTTGGGCAGTGAGCATCGATGCCTTCGTTGATGTACACCCTGCTCAGGTTCTGGAAGGCGTCTGCAGCGTCCAGAGAGAGCACGGCGCAGTCCAGGCGGACGCGGAGGGCAGTGGACACGCGCTTGTGGACCAGTTCCGCCCCAGCCGTGCGATTGTACCCGAATTGCTTGCCGCGAAGCCCCTCGGCGACCTCGTCCGCCGCCATTTCCTTGACCGCCTTGGACGCGAGACGGCGGAGCGGGCTGGCGAGGTTGATGGGGCGGATTCGGGTGGGGCTCTTGGCGGGCGGGAGGAGGCGGGCGGCCGTCGCCAGTTCCTGCGCTTCCTGCGGGAGGGTGCCGCGGGCTAGTGATGCGCCCGCTGTGGCCAGGGCACACTGAGCGGACAGGTCAGTTTGGACGAGTTGGAAGTGCTCGCACCGCCACCCGTCGGGCCCAGCTGCGCTTCGTTTTGGTGCGGCCCGCAAGGCTTTGGCGAAGTGTAGCTCGAACAGTTGCTGCTCGTCGTCCTGTTCGTCGTGGGCGGCTGGTGGCTGTGCTCGACGGCGTGGGAAGAGCTGCGGCGCGGCTTGAAGGGCCAACTGGTCTCCGGCAATTTCGAGTGCTTCGCGGAGGGCTCTCGTAGCTTTGCCCGCGGCGCCTGCCTCCGCGAGTTTGCGCGCCGCCGTAACGTCGTGCTCTGCGGTAGTCCTCCGCCTGGCGCGCAAAGGAGGCGGGGCGGAGTCAAGGGCGGCGCCCCAAAGCTGCGCTTCGCAGTGCTCCCTGATCTCCGAGGCCCGGAGGAACAGAGCAGTGGTGAGCTGCGCGTTGCCTCTGCTGCCGCCTCGGAGGTTGGCGTGCCCGAGCAGCAGCTTAGGGGGCATGAACCAACGCTTGGCCGCCTTGGTGATGGGCTCCGGGGTGCCGCGGTGGATCTCGCGGGCGAAAGCCTTCGTGTGCTCCGTTATGATGGCGACCACCGCCCCGCGAGCGTGCGGCGGTATATGGGCGGCCGTGGGCACTGGTTGTTGGGCCATTTCTGGCGTGATGGCGTCCGCCCATTCGGCGTTGGTGTCGCTGCTGGCGCGCCTGGCCGCGTCGAGTTGGAGTTGCGCGTCGGCTGGCGCAGGCGGCGCCGGCGCGGTGACGACGGCGGCCCATTTGTGTTCAACTTCTCTTTTGAGTACAAAAGGTAGGTCATCGGCCAGTTCCAGGGCAGCGTTGCTGGTCTGGGCGCAGACAAGAGCGCGCTCCAAGCAGGCGACGGGGCTCTGCGGCGCAATGCTTGTGGGACAGCGGATCGCCTGCGGCGGTATAATGGAAGTACACATCGCGCGCGTAGCTGCTCTGCCCGTCCGGAGCGCGGCGCACCACGTCGCGGCGTCCTCTCGCGGCCGTCGCCGCGACCGTTGCCCGGCAGCGTCGTCTGGCAGGGCGCCAGGCCCAGCGGCAGCTGCAGTGCCAGAGCGGGAGGCTTCGCTAGTTCGTTGCACCCGAATCCGCCCGCGTCTTGCCTCGAGGGGCCCAGCGTCGGTTGGCGCATTCGTGTCCATATCGTCCGCCGTGGCGGCCGCGGCCGCGCCAGGGCCTTCCCCGGGGCGCCCCGGCGTGCAGTCGAGGCCCAGCTCGCTCGACGTCGCGGCCATTGCAGCTGGCGCCATCCCGTGAGCTTGGTTCTTTCTGGCCAGGTTTTCGAGCTGCGTCCAGCCGTGGCGACGAGGAGCCCGAGGCGTCGGGGCACTCAATGTCGCCGTGGCCAACGTCATCGTGTAGCTGGCGGCGCCGACAGCAGCTCCGGCAAGCGCAGCGGCCAGCAGGCAACTAACGAGGAGGATGATCGCGAGAGCGTAGTTCTTGCCATACTTCTGCACGAGGCACGAGTCCGCACGCCTTGGAGGGCCTGGCCATGAGGCGCCGCCCGATTGTCAGCATGGCAAGCAGCAGGTCCACAGTGAGACAGGTGAGCACCGCGAGAGCGCACGTGAGATGGCCTGCGAGGCACAGCATTGTGAGGGGGATTGGCAGCTGCCGAGTCGGCTCCGGCTGACATCCTGCACTCCCCTGATGGCCGGCGGCATTCCATGCCGAGAGCGCCCAGAACAGCAAGGCCGCAAGCACCTGCGACCGTCCGCGGGCGTGCCAGAACAGGCGCAACGCCCTTTCGGGGACGGCGCAGCAAGTTCCCCTGGTCCCACCAGTGATTGTGCTGCTGAACGTGGCGCTGCTGGTGCCCGTCGTGCTGGTCAATGTGGTGCCGCTAGTTGCAATGTTGCCGTGAAGCATGATGCTGCTGGTATTGGTCGTGCTTGTAATGCTTATCGTCGTGTTGGGCCTAGTGGTCTTGTTGGTACCAGTCGCACTCTGAACACTCGCGTTGCTGCTCTCACCGCTGCTGCCCACGTAGTGGTGTTGCTGGTGTTGGGCTCGCTCGGAACACTCATGGTTATACCTGTGCCCGTGCTGCTCGCCGACGTGCTGAGCGTAATGGTGCTAGTGGTGCTGCCGGTATCGGTCGTGCTCGTCACACTCGTGGTTTTGCTCTCCGTCGTACCGCTCGCCGCTGTGCTCGGCGTAGTGGTGCTGCTGAAGTCGGTCGTGCTCGTCACACTCGCGGTGCTGCTCTCGGTCGTACTGCTCACCGATGTGCTGGGCGTGCCCGCGCTGCTGGTAACAGTCGTGCTCTTTACGCTCGTGGTGCTGCTCTCGGTCGTACTGTTCGCCGACGCGCTGGGCGTGGCGGTGCTGCTGACCCCGGTCGTGCTCGTCACTGTGGTGCTGCTTTTTGTCGAACTGCTCGCCGACGTGCTGGGCGTGGTGGTGCTGCTGGTCTCGGTCGTGATCGTCATACTCGTGGCGCTGCTATCAGTCGTACTGCTCGCCGACGTGCTGGGCGTAGTGGTGCTGCTGGTGGCAGTCGTGCTCGTCCCACTCGTGGTGCTACTTTCGGTTGTACTGTTCGCCGACGTGCTGGGCGTAGTGGTGCTGCTGATACTTGTCGTGCTCGTCACCCTCGTGGTGCTGCTCTCGGTCGTACTGCTCGCCGTCGTGCTGGGCGTAGCGGTGCTGCTCGCGAGCTGGTCATACTCCTGGTGCTGCTCTCGGTTGTACTGCTCGTCAACGTGGTGTGCGTAGTGGTGCTGCTGGTACGTCTCGTGCTCGTCCCACTCGTGGTGTTGCTCTCGGTCGTACTCTCGCCGACGTGCTGGGCGTGGTGGTGCTGCTGGTACTTGTCGTGCTCGTCGCCGTCGTGGTGTTGCTCTCGGTCGTACTGCTCGCCGACGTGCTCGGCGTAGTGGTGCTGCTGGTCTCGGTCGTGCTCGTCATTCTCGTGGTGTTGCTCTCGGTCGTATTGTTCGCCGTTGTGATGGGCATAGTGGTGCTGCTGGTCTCGGTCGTGCTCGCTATCCTCGTGGTGCTGCTCTCGGTCGTACTGCTCGCCGACGTGCTGGGCGTAGTGATGCTGCTGGTACCGGTCGTGCTCCTCACCCCCGTGGTGATGCTTTCAGTCGTACTGCTCGCCGACGTGCTGAGCGTAGTGGTGCTGCTGGTCTCGTTCGCGCTCGTGGCCCTGGTGGTGCTGCTCTCGGTCGTACTGCTCGCCGACGTGCTGGGCGTGGTGGTGCTGCTGGTCTCGGTCGTGCTCGTCACCCTCGTGGTGCTGCTCCCGGTCGCACTGCTCGCCGACGTGCTGGGCGTGGTGGTGCTGCTGGTCTCGGTCGTGCTCGTCACCCTCGCGGTGTTGCTCTCGGTCGCACTTCTCGCCGGCTTGCTGGGCGTAGTGGTGCTGCTGGTCTCGGTCGTGCTCGTTACCCTCGTGGTGCTGCTCTCGGTCGTACTGCTCGCCGACGTGCTGGGCGTAGTGGTGCTGCTGGTACTAGTCGTGCTCGTTACCCTCGCGGTGCTGCTCTCGGTCATAGTGCTCGCCGACGTGCTGGGCGTGGTGGTGCTGCTGGTCTCGGTCGTGCTGGTCATCCTCGTAGTGCTGCTCTCGGTCCTTCTGCTCGACGACGCGCTGGGCGAGGCAGTGCTGCTGGTACCGGTCGTGCTCTCCACACTCGTGATGCTGCTCTCGGTCGTGTTGCTCGCCGGCATGCTGGGCGTAGTGGTATTGCCGGTGCCAGATATGCTCGTCCCAATCGTGGTGCTGCTTTCGGTCGTTCTGCTCGCCGACGTGCTGGGCGTAGTGGTGCTGCTGGTGGCAGTCGTGCTCGTCCCACTCGTGGTGCTACTTTCGGTTGTACTGTTCGCCGACGTGCTGGGCGTAGTGGTGCTGCTGATACTTGTCGTGCTCGTCACCCTCGTGGTGCTGCTCTCGGTCGTACTGCTCGCCGACGTGCTGAGCGTAGTGGTGCTGCTGGTCTCGTTCGCGCTCGTGGCCCTCGTGGTGCTGCTCTCGGTCATACTGCTCGCCGACGTGCTGGGCGTGGTGGTGCTGTTCTCAGTCGTACTGCTCGCCGACGCACTGGGCGTGGCGGTGCTGCTGGTGTCGGCCGTGCTCGTCACCCTCGTGGTGCTGCTCTCAGTCGTACTGCTCACCGACGTGCTGGGCGTAGTGGTGTTGCTGGTCTCGGTCGTGCTCGACACCCTTGTGGTGCTGCTCTCGGTCGTACTTCTCGCCGACGCGCTGAGCGTCCTCCTCCTCCTCCTCCTCCTCCTCCTCCTCCTCCTCCCCTCTTCCTCCTCCTCCTCCTCCTCTTCCTCCTCCTCCTCCTCCTCCTCCTCTTCCTCGTCCCCATCCCAGGACAGTGTCCACTCATCCTCCCCGTCCACCTTCGCCTCCCCTTCCTCCTCCCTCCCCCTTTTTCTCGCACCCTCCTCCTTATTCCCCTTTCCCCCCTGAATATCACGGTCCTCTCGGTTGCGGCTGCCCTTAAGTGGGTGACTGGACAATTCGGAGCATGGGCGAACAATTCTGCGTGAGGCTTTTGGCGTGGAGTATGGAGAGGAGGTGTCCCGAACTCAGAAATTCCAGAACCATTGCATGATTCCATGGAGGAGGGACGAATGTGGAGGAGGAGGAGGAGGAGGGAGAGGAGGAGAAGGAAAGAGTATAAGGAAGTGAGGAGGGATGAGCAGGTGCTGCGGATAGACAGTCGAACATTCAGTTTCAGGAGTGCGGGGACATGGGCTGATGACACCCTTTCACGTTTTGCACGCACCGCGCATTTCTGTGAGAGGGTGCGGGAAGGTGGAGCCAGCCCCGACGCGGATGCTTGCCTGGCATAAACGCCGCCGTGCTGTCTTCCTTGTGCGCCCGAGAATTAGGCAACGCATTGCCTGTATTGTTTAGGGTGGCTCTCCAGTGTGGAGGCTAACCCGCATGTGCAGACGGGTAGCATTGGTGATGCTCATGCTTGCTTTGGATTGCGTGTGATTGGATTGAATGGCAGGTGGATGCTGATATCGTGCGGGTAGCGCGCCACTGTGCCAATCAGCGGCGCAGGCAGCGTGGACGAAGCTGATTTGAGGCCCGCGCCAGTTCAGCGCGCAGTCTGAATTTGCGTGGGTCTGAAATTCGACCTCGTTTCCTCGGTCTCGGGGCCGTCGGGGAGCCTTCTTGGACCGTTTTGGAGGGCTTTCGGGCAGTCGCGGGGCCAGCTGGGTGCTCTCCTGGGACGGTTTGGCGCCGCCTCGCGGGCTTCTTGGGACCCTCTGAAGCCTTCCAGGGGCGAACTCAAGCCGAACGGCCTCGGGAGCAAACAACGTTGATTTCTCGCAGGTGTTTCAATGGTTCGCGTTTTCGGGCCTCTGGGTGTATCTTGGAACGTGTACCCATCGGCTGAAGGAGATTCAAGGATCTGGGACTCTGTGTCCCCCCTGTACCCACCTGCGACGCATTGGTGCGCCAGCGACGTGCGTGACACGCCCGCCGCGTTGGGACCTCGTGTCTTACCTGTACGCATTGGGGCTTGTCCCCACGTGAGCACCTCGGTGTATGCTGGCGCGACTTCGGCTGATGCGGGACGCCGACCTCTCTCCTCCCTGTTCGCTTCTTCCCCCCCCGCTCGCTTCTCCCCCCTCCCATGGCGGCGGTGCCCGGCACAGCGCGGCTCCGGCCCGGTGCCTGGCACTGCACCTTGCCGCTTCGGCGGCCCCGCGTACCCTGGGCAGCGCGGCTCAGGCCCGGCCCTCGGCCATGCGGACACAGACGGCCCTGCTTCTGGCCGTACCTCTTGGCTGTTTCGTGGACGTGGATTGGACTACCACCACAGGCCGCTACCGACCACCCGGTGGCACAACGATGCACATCGTCTTCGTGGTCATCCTCATCTCCTGGGCCTCTCTTCGCCAGTTGGTGGCACCTGTTGCTCTTCGCCTACGTGGTGTACCTCTACCCCCCGGACGTCGACCTGGTTACATCCTTCCGCACGCAGCACTTGAGGATGGTGATTTTGACGCGCCGTCGACGGCAACGGCACTTCGCTCTCCCTCCGGGACTTCGCCTCCGGCTCTTGTCCAAGACGTACCTTTTCTTGTGCAAGCTCTTCAGCGCCGCCTGCACCCCGCGCCCTCCGGCCGCCCGAGGCCCCGCCCGCCCGCGCTCTGTCTCCCCAATTCGTGCTTTGCGCGGCCCGCCTAGCTCTTAACCGGAAGAAGCTCGCTCTCGACCCGCAGACCAAAAAGTATTTCGGAACGTTTCTTGGAGGCTTCTTGGGGCCTCTCGGAGAGATCGCGTTGTCTTTGGGGGCTCGTTGCGCCGTCTTCGGGACGCCTCGGGGTAAGTTTCAAACCCAGGCCAATTCAGCGCGCGCTCTGAACTCGTGTGGGTCGTAATTTCGGCCGCCACATGATGATGTTCATGATGCTACTGATGATATACTGCTGACGACGGCGCCGACGACGATGATGCTGCTACTGGGTATGTATACCACGATGATGAGAACGATGACGATCATACTAGCAACATAAAAGTATGAACGCTAATATTAATGATACGAATAATCGTCGTAATACTCATCTTAATGAGAGCAATAGTGATAATAATAATAATAATATGCGACCCGATCCACCGATTCCACCGACTAGCGTTTCCTGCGCATGCGTGCAGAACCTCTTCCGCCCGACCCGACTCGTCCCGCCCGTTACAGCACTCGCGTGCCAACTGGATCGTACATCCGTCGTCGCCGTCGTCGTCGTCGTCGTCGTTGACGCTGTATTCGCGAGGGGAGAGATGATCTTTATGGTGGGGTGGCGTGCGGGTGGGTGTGAGGGCCACTGCAGGTGTGTTCGCGGTCACGTTGTACTCGTGGCCACGCCTAGTAGATAATAATTATAATGATAATAATACTATGATATTAATGATATTATCAAAAATAATATCAAACATAGTAATAATACAAATAATACTAACAATAAGATTAATACTTGTATTAATAGTAGTAATGATACGAATGACAGTATAATAATAATAACGACAATTTTATTAACACTACCAATACCAATATCAATAATACTAATAATAATAAGACGGATGGTGGTGATGATGGTGATGATGGTGGTGATGGTGGTGATGGTGATGATGAGGATGGTGTTGATAGTGAGAGGAGGATGATGACGAGGAGGAGGAGGAGGGTACTGCTGCTGATTATGAGGATGACGACGATGCTGATGATGATGCTGGTGGTGGTGATTGCGATTATTATGATGAGGGTGATGATGATGGTGATGATGCTGATCATGATCGTGCACATGATCATGATCACGATGATGCGGATGGTGATGTGGAGGGATACGGCGAGGATGTTGATTATAATGAACGGGTGAAAGAAAACGATGCGGAATGGAATGAATATGTTCATGATGATGTCAAAGCGTGTGCGTGTGAGCGAGTGTATCCTCACCCACACCTGTACCACCATTGCTCTTTAGACTTTCCATTGTTGGGCGCTTTTGCCATTTGGGCCTGGCTGAAATGCACAGCCCCGCTTTTTTTCGCGTCGTGGGGCCAACGCGCGTGCCTGTCAGTGGGCGCGTGTGCTGGATAACCTCGTGTACGCCATATTGGAACGCACTGGACATGGCTGCCAGATGGAGTCCGTGGTAACTCCAACGGATGAGTCCGTGGTACCTTGCACTGCTGTTTGAGTTTGTCTCCCTCTTCTCTTTCCCTCTCATCCCTCTCCCTTTCTTCTTTCCCTCTCTTCCTTCCCCCGATCTCGCTCGGTTTGTCCGCGTCAATCCCGCGACCCCCCCTCTCCATTCTATCTCCTCCGCCTCGCTCCCCTCCTCCGTCTCCGTCGTCGTCACCGTCCCTCTTCTTTTCTTCTTCTCGATCGTGTGACCCGGCCAGTCGCGACAAACGTCCAGCAGGCCTTTTGGGTGCACCGTTCTAAGATAGCTCAGTCGCATCATGCGTTGTCCGCAGCGGATGGGCCCATCCAGGTGGGCGTGTCTTTGGTCGATCGCCTTCAATATGCCCTCGGTATCTTTCAATGCAGTGTACGGGTTGTGGGTCCACCACTGCGCGGAAGTCGCCCCGCAAGAACATGGATCGGAAAAGGACGGGAGGGAGCAGATGTAAGGGTACGACGGAGAACACGGATGAGACAATGAAGACATTTGAGGGTACCATGGAGCCAGTCGTTTTTTGTGGTTTTCACCTTTTCCTGCCACCATGCCCACGTCGTGGACTAAGGGCCTCTCGGATGCCTCTTGGGGTCTCTCGGGCTGGTGGGGACCTCTTGCAGGCCTCTAGGGAGCTTATTGGGGGTCTCCGGGGAGGCCTCTTGGAAACCTTTGGTGTCCTGTTTGGGGTGGCTGTGTCGTGGGCATGGGGAGGGCCTCCTGTGGCCCAGTCGAGTCCACCTTTTGGACCGCCCCTGGCCCGAGGCCCTCTTGGGGGCGTCTTGGATTGGGAGCCTCGTTGCGTCGTCAGACGCCCTGGTGACCGCCAAGTCGAGAATGCTATGCAACGCTTCCGGCTTCTTGGGGCGACCCCCAGAGGCCCCAAGACGCGCCCAACAGGCCCCCGAGAACGTCCCAGGACGAGGTCCCTCCCCCCCCTCTGAGACCATCTGAGGACATGTTGGGGGCTTGAGTTCCGAAACGCGCTCCCGAGGCCTCGGGCCCGGGAGAAGTCGCGCGGCGAATCACGGGCGACATGTTCAGCCCAGAAAGTGGAGGTTGGAGTCCCGTAGCGAGTTTTCACGATATGCCATGTTAAGAGACTCCATTGGTTGATGCCTGCGGCACAGCGGTGGAGATGAGCAGAACATGAATAACGATAACAGATTAGTGACGGTGCCACAGGCCCAGAATCGGGACATATGGAATCGCAAGGAAGCGTGGAGGCAGGAACGCGGAGGTGGACGCAGAGCCACGAACGTGCAGACGTAAATGCAGCTGTCAGCAGCGAGAGAGTGAGCAGTCCGTAGATATATCTGTATACAAATATATACACACTTGTTTAGACAGAGACAGCGAGAGACAGAGAGAACGAGAGAGAGAGAGAGAGGCATGAACACACACACACACACACGCAAACCCGCACACCCGCACACCCACACCCGCACACCCTCACACCTTCACACCCACACACGCACACACCCACACCCACACACACCCACACCCACACACACGCACACACGCACACACGCACACGCACGCGGATGCACACACACAGACAATCACACGCTTTTTGAGTCGGCGGCGCAGAGCATCTTCAGGCGCGGGACAAACACACCACGCACAACACAACACACACACACGCACGCACGCACGCACGCACGCACGCACGCACGCACACACACACAGACAGACAGACAGACAGACAGACAGACACACAGACACACAGACACACAGACACACAGACACACAGACACACAGACACACAGACACACAGACACACAGACACACAGACACACAGACACACAGACACACAGAGACACAGACACACAGACACACAGACCACAGACACACAGACACACAGACACACAGACACACAGACACACAGACACACAGACACACAGACACACAGACACACAGACACACAGACACACAGACACACAGACACACAGACACACAGACACACAGACACACAGA